TTATTTCAAAAAATTTTTAAATTTCTGCCTTACTTTCATAGTTTAGCCAAAAGTCATTCAGGAGCAAGTTGTTCAACTTCCATGTAATTGTATGATTTTGAGAGATCATCTTGTTATTGATTTCTGTTCTTATTCCACTGTCGTCTGAGAATATGGTTGGCATGATTTCAATTTTTTGAATTTATTGAGACCTTCTTTATGGCGAAGCATGTGATTGATCTTGGAGTATGTTTCGTGTGCATATGAGAAGAATGTGTATTCTGTGGTGGTTGATGGGTGGAGTATCCCGTAGATGTCTGTTAGGTCCAATTAGTCAAGTGCTGAATATATGTCCAGAATTTGTTAGTTTTCTGCCTCCATGACATGTCTAATGCCTGTCAGTGGGGTTTTGAAATCCCTCACTATTATTGTGTGACTGTCTAAGACTGTTCCTAGGTCTAGTAGTAGTTGTTTTATGTATCGGATTGCTCTACTATTGGATGCATATATATTTAAGATAGTTAAGTTTTCTTGTTGAATTGAACTATTTTTCATTATGCAATGCAATTTTTTGCCCTTTTTAACTCTTGATCATTTATCATTTGTTTTATCTGATACAAGAATAGTGACACCTGCTCTTTTTCTGTGTTCTCTTTGTGTGATAGATCTTTCCCCAACCCTGTACTATGAGCCTATGAGTGGTGTTATATGTGAAATAGCTCTCTTAAAGACAATAGATGGATGAGTTTTGTTTTTTTATCCAACATGCCATTATGTACCTTTTGAGTGGGGCATTTAGACCATTTACACTCATAATTAATATTCATATGTGAGGTTTTGATCCTATCATGAAGTTGTTAGCTGGTTGCTTTGTAGTTTCTTTTGTGTGGTTGTTTTATAAGGTTTGCAAGCTGTGTACATGCATATTTGTGGTAGTAAGTATTCTTTCATTTCCATGTTTAGAACTCCCTTAAGGATCTCTTGTGAGGTTGGTCTATAGGCAACAAATTCTGTTGATGCTTACTTGTCTGAAAAACATTTATTTCTCTTTTGCTTATTAAGCTTCGTTTGGGTAGATATGAAATTTCTTGGCTAATTTTTTTTTCTTTTAAGAATACTGAAAATAAGCCCCCAATCTCTCCTGGCTTCTGTGGTTTCTGCCGAGAAGTCGGCTGTTAGGCTGATGGGGTTCTGTTTGTATGTGATCTGACCTTTTTCTCTAGCTACCTTTAAGATTTTTTCTTTAGTGTTGGTCTTGGACAGTCTGGTGACTAAATGCTGTGGCAATGTTCATTTTGTATGGTATCTTGCGATGTTCTCTAGATTTCTTGTATTTGGATGCCTATATCTCTAGCAAAATTAGGTTAATTTTCTTGAATTATTTCCTCATATTTGTTTTTCAGGTTGTTTTCTTTTTATCCATCTCTCTCAGTAATGCCAGTAATTTGTAGGTTTGGCTGCTTTATGTAGTCTGATATTTCTTGAAGACTTTTTTTCATTTTTCAACCTTTTTAAAAAATTTTTGTTTGGGTAAATTTGAAAGATCAGTCTTCAAGCTTTGAAATTCTTTCTTTTGGTTTGTCCAGTCTGCTGATAAAACATTCAGTTTTGTTTTGTAATTTCTTAAGTGAGTTTTTCAATTCCACTATCTCTGATTGATTTCTTTTTAAGATGTTTAATCCCATTCATTTCCTGGATTGCTTTAGAAGTTTCTTCTATTTTTCAACATTGTCTTGGATATCATTGAGCTTCCTTGCAGTCCATGCTTTGAATTCTTTATTTGTCAATTCTTCTGAGTTTCCAGTTTGGTTATGCTCCATGGTTGGAGAGCCAGTGTGATCCTTTGACGGTGTCACCACACTCAGATTTTTCATGGTGTCCGAAGCTTTGTGCTGGTTCCTTCTCCTTTGGAGATGCTGACACTTCTAACTTTTGTAATAATTTTCATGCTTTTAAGGTATTTTTTCCTTTCTCTATAATGTTATTATTGTTATTTTGTCTTCTTTCCCTTTCCCTGTCTCCATGGGTGCTGTGGCTATAGAGAATGCTGGGTAGGGCCTTTTGGCTTTGCTTCTATAGCTTTATACACTTCTGTCAGCAGGTTTTATATTGGTCTGTGCAGTTCAACCTACAAGCCATTGGATGGCAGTTATGAGTGAGAGTGGGCTTTGGCCAATGTGACTGGGTATATACTTGACCTGTGTTTAGTGGGAGAAGCTCTCTGTTGCCTCAGGCAATAGGTTGATGTGTGGAGTGCACGGTGGTCTGAGCTCCCTCCTCTGCTCTGGAGGAGGGCACAAAATGGGCATGTCCAGACTGGGCAGGTCCTACTAGGTCTCCCTATGGCAGGCATCAGTGCTGAGGGAGAATTCAGTGGGCAGCCCCTAAGTACCTGGAGGAGTGCCTAGGCATAGTGATGGGAAACCTCAGCCCCAAGTTCTCTGCATGGGAATGGGGGTGGCCTATACTCCTAATCCAGGAAAGTGGGTTTTCCAGATTCCTGGAGATCTGCTGGCTGTGAAATGGAGAGGGTCTCCTGCACCAGGATTTCTGCACTGGAATGGTGGGACACCTCAGGGTACTGAACCAGGCAAGCAGTTACCCTAAATCCCTGGAGACAGGCCTGGGTGTGAAACAGAGAGGGCCCCCTGTACCAGGATCTCTGCATAGATAGGAATGATGCAGAGTGTGCTGTTCCAGGTGAGTGAGTTGTCTGAATGCCTGGAAATCTGCCTGGCTGTGGACAGATAGGGCCCCCGCTTGCACCAAGATCTTTGCACAGAGGGGTGAGGTGACTAAGACTGCTGGGCTGGCCAAGCAGCTGCTCTGAATGCCTGGAGATCTCCCTGGGCGTGAAGCATAGAAGACCTCTCTAAACCTGGATCTCTGCAAAGGAAGAGTGGGGTGGCTCAGACTGCCAATCTGGGCAAGCAAGTGCATTGAATGCCTGGAGATCTGCCTGTGCATCCTGCTGCACCGCGTGGAATAGGGCTCAGGTTGCTAGTCTGTGGGAGCGGGTGCTTCAGTTGCCTGGAGATTAGCCTGGGCATGGACCAAAGAGGGTCCAGTGCCGTGATCTGTGTCTATGAAGGGTGGGGTGGCTTGAATGCCTGGGTTTCTGCCTGAGAGTGGAGCAGAGAGGGCCCTGCTGCACCACAGTGTCAGGGTAGCAGGCTGGAGCACCCAGCAATGACACATGCAGACAGGTTCCAGGTCACCAAGCTGCCTCTGCCTGCCAAGTCTTGTTGTCCAGGAGATATTGCAGCTATAGCAGCTTTCCTCCCACCCTAGGCCTGCAACGGGGTAGAGTACAATTGTAACACCTACTGCTGAGGCAGTTTTCACATTTCTGGCTCCAAAACGGGGACTCTAATTTCTGGCATGCCTGCACAGACACACTGCCAGATTTCCAGGTTGAATTGTAAGTGCTTGAATTCAAAATGGTGTCCTGCTGTTGGTCCCTGCAACTTTTCCTGGTGTCTTTCCCTCACAGTATCTCCTTACCTCTTTCCCAGTTAGCTCCAGGTTTCGGGAGAAACAAAGGGCTCTCGGGATCTAGGGTGCCCTTCATGATTCTGGTGGAGTCCTGCTTTCCTTCCTGAATTAAAGCTCACAGTTGATTTTCATGTACTATCTTGATATTTCCAAGTGGCTGAGAAATGCTAAAACCCTCAAATCTGCCATCTTTGGGGAAAAAACCTCAAAAAACTATTGTGATTTTAAACTAGTATCATGCTTATATTAATATTTCTTTTAAAAGGTTTAATTTTTATTTGACCGAATTTAAATCCTTGAGGAAAAGAAACATAAAACATATTAGTATTTTCCCAATGATTGACTGTTAAGTTTTTGTACTAAGATTTGAATTAAAATTATGCAGTTACAATGTGATATGGACTTGGATGCCTTTAGTTCATATTTGAAAAGGAATCAAACTTCTTTTTATATACCTGCTTTTCTATTGATCACTAGAGGTGGAAGATATTTCCTTTTTGTTCAGAATGTTTTCTGACTTACTAAACACCAAAATTTTGATCTAGGAGGATACTGATATCCTTAATTTTTAAAAGTAATTCTAAGAGTTTCTAATTACTGTTCTTGTTCTAAATGTCAGTTGAATTTCAGTTTCATTATACTTTGCTTATACTAAAATCAGAAGGCCCTCATAGATCTTTGTTGTTTTTTTTTTTTTTTTTTGAGACAGAGTCTCACTCTGTTGCCCAAGCTGGAGTGCAGTGGCGTGATCTCGGCTCACTCCCACCTCCACCTCCCAGGTTCAAGTGATTCCCCTGCCTCAGCCTCCCGAGAAGCTGGATTACAGGCGCATGCCACCATGCCCAGCTAATTTTTGTAATTTTAGTAGAGATGGGGTTTCACCGTGTTGGCTAGACTGGTCTCGAACTCCTGACTTCAGGTGATCTGCCTGCCTTGGCCTCCCAAAACACTGGGATTACAGACATGAGCCACTGCGTCCGGCCTCCACATAGATCTTTAAAAATTATATTAAATTACTGTATAATTTTTGAGAATGGAATGGGAAATTTATTTTTAGCGTCCTTTGGTTTTAAATCTTTTTACTTTTGTAATTATTTCTGTTTATCATTTATTATTAGCCTGCTGTCTTGTTTTTCATGGTGACAATTATTTAGAAATTTAAATACGTGCTACCATTAGAGAATGCTTTCTTTCTACTGACTTAAAATAACCAGTTGGTAACCTTCAAAGGACATAAGCCGGTAGCAGACGGAAAAAACTGTCTCAAAGCTAGCTTGATGCACACGTTACATATAAGTGTGTGCATGGAAAGGCCACCTTATATTCCAATTTCTTCTCATTTCTTAGTTTTCATTGAAAGGAACTCTAGCCTGAGATAGACAGGTTTTTAAATACCAGAAATGTGTATTAAATTTCCCTCCATATTATTTGAAATAGGTTTATAATAATAAGAAAAGTATATATTTTAAGACTTTCCTTTTAAAAATTATACTGAAAATAGTTTGTTTTTAATCTTATTCATTCAGTGTTATCTACAAACTTCTGGCATCGAAAAGCGAAGGAATCAGGGTACAAGCTCTTAAGGCAATGGGTTATTTTTTAAAACATCTGGCCCCAAAGTAAGTATGCCTGAAATCTAAGATGGACTCTTATATTCTACTTATTTATTTTATAAATCTTTGCAGTAGCAATTTTATTCTATAGTCCTCTAGTTTTTCTTGTATTTTTATTCATAAATTGCTATATGAATGTAAACAGTAGTACATATTTTAAAAACTAAGTTGAACAGGAATAGTTTTTTTATACATAAAATTATTTAAATTATCCATATATTTAATGTGAATTATGAGAATTAGTTTGGACAACTTGCATTCAAGAAGCTATGGAGACTTGATTTCAGGTGACTCACACCATTTTTGCTTTATCTTTATTATAAAGTAATACAGTAACCTGGATGTTTGTCACATAGTGTGTTCTCATATATGCCTAACTCAGAACTGAAACTTCCATGCTTATTTTCTTAGCTGAATGCAGATATTCATGTTCTACCTTTTGTTCTCTGTACCAGAAGTAGTTTATTTTAAAAAGAAAATTTTTTGGTTTAGAACAAGTGTTGGTAAACTGCAGTGTTTAGGAATCCAGCTAGCCACCTGTAAAAATACGGTTTTATTGGAAAACAGCCACAATAATTTATTTGTGTATCATCTGTGGCTGCTTTCATGATACAAGGACAGTGTTGAATTGTGACAGAAATCACCTGGTCCACAAATTCTAAAATATTTACCCCCTAGCCATTTGCAGAAAAACTTTGCTGACCCCAAGGGTAAAATTAAAGTTTTTGATCCTTTAGTTTCTGAATTTATGCTTGGAAAGTTAATTTTTTATGTATGTTTTCATAGTATTTATTTTTAAAAATTATATTACATTTCTTCTACTTTTTCTCCAAATTGTTTTTCTACTTAGGTACTTACTGTGCTTTAGATGATCGTCCCCAGGAGAGACTAAGTTAGTGCTGGTAAACTGTAGCAACTTCATTAAATAAATAACTGCTCTGAAGATTTTGGGGGAGGAGGCTTTTGCTGTGCTGTTGCATAGGCAAACTTGTCTTTTTTTTTTTTTTAAACTAGTTATGCTTATATAGTGGTTAGCATTTCTCTACTTAAAGGTTCTGTGGCTTTAGAAGTTCTAGATTGAAGATAGTTGGGAGAGTAATGGAGTTGGGAATTGTTTGTAGTGTGAAAAAGTATTTTGTGTTTCCTTCATCCAGCATGCCTATTAAGTAGAGCACAGAAAAGCTCTACATTTGATGATTTCTTTTTGTGTAATTGCAGGAGGAAAGTTGAAGTCATGCTTGGACATGGATTGTTTTCATTGCTAGCTGAAAGGCTCATGCTTCAGACAAATTTAATCACAATGACCACATATAATGTCCTGTTTGAGGTAGGAATGTACTTAGGATTTACTCCTCTAAATTTCTTATTATAAAAATGCCTCTTAATATTGTGTAGGTAAATAAGATCATTTACTTTTATTTTATTTTTTGAGACAGAGTCTCACTCTGTCACCCAGGCTGGAATGCAGTGGTATAGTCTCAGCTCACTGCAACCTCCACTTCCTGGGTTCAAGTGATTCTCCTGTCTCAGCCTCCCCAGTAGCTGGGATTACAGGTGTGCGCTACCACACCCAGCTGATTTTTGTATTTTTAGTAGAGACAGGGTTTCGCTATGTTGGCCAGGCTGGTCGTGAACTCCTGACCTCAGGCGATCCACCCACCTCAGCCTCCCAAAGTGCTGGGATTATAGGCATGAGCCACCATGCTGGCCAGATCATTTAAGTTCGTAATGTACAGCTATGAAATGATATAAAGGAGATGTGGCTGCATTTTTATAAATCTATTATTAATGTGTGAATTTTTAAACAGTATCGTTATTTCTGTTTAAGTATTCCCTTCATTGTATTAAATATTTGATGTCTCATTTTATAATTAAGAAAACATAGAGTAATAATACTGTAGTTATTTTAGAAGTATCATACTTAACATGACAATATTGGACTAAAAATATACTATATTTTGATTAGTGTTGTACTTAAAGCTCATTAATAGTGATGCTAATCCAGTGATTTGCTAATGTAATCCATTGTTTTACTTCTGTAGATTCTTATAGAACAGATTGGTACTCAGGTGATACATAAACAGCATCCAGATCCTGATTCTTCAGTAAAGATACAAAACCCTCGTATGTATTTTATATACTTGAACAAAAACTACCTTTTGCTACTTAAAAGAAAGTCACTGTGAACAACCTAAAATCGATGTTGTTGAAACAGACTGTTAGATGAGTATTACATTAAGTGTGATGATACTAGTTTTGTTTGTGTTTTATGTTGAATATTCCTTCGAATCAACCTTATGTGGAAATTCTTTTTTTTTTGAGATGGAGTCTCGCTCTGTCGCCCAGGCTGAAGTGCAGTGGCCGGATCTCAGCTCACTGCAAGCTCCGCCTCCTGGGTTTATGCCATTCTCCTGCCTCAGCCTCCTGAGTAGCTGGGACTACA